TCCTTACCCTTTTCTAAGGGCTAATGACTCATAGCATGTTGCAGCAGGCCACCAAATTAGAACTCATCTCATCAATAACTCAGGTGGGGAATGCAGCAAGGCACTCGGAAACCAAGTATAGAGCCTTCAACTTGAAATCCCCAGTACTATTCTTGTACTCAAATTTCCATAAGTGGCAAGTGCTTTCTTATATCACTTTCTATCAAAAGGAAGTATTCCTTGAGCACAGCCTTGAAGTCTGTGGAAGGAGACTCTTTTTCCCTCCTGCCTTGCCCTTGGGAAAGCAGATTAATGGCAGGATAAACATACTGGTACTGGTTTTCTCATTGATGCTCACTTTAAAGGGTTATTTTTGTTTTTCATACAAATTTTAACACCGTGAACCTTGAATATTTACAGTAGCACAAAAACATAATGTTTTCAGCAATGGTTCCAAAACTAGCTATACTTTGGTATTTTCTGTGCTACCGAAGCATGTGTTTTAGCTTGAAATACTGGACAGTGGTGAATTAAAGAAGATAATTGTATGCTCTAATTTCAGCAATGCCCTAGTAAATAAGGATGATGATAATTAGAAGGACAGAAATTATCTTAGATCTGTATCGTTTTTATCCATTTCTGGTATGTTTCTTGGAAGAGTTTTTTTTTTCTTTTTAAATCTCAGTGCCACTGAAAGGCATCCTGAAATTATCGCTATTAAAGAAAGCAAAATAAGAACTATGTACACAGTTAAAATAAAGTTATTGATTTCATTTCCATAAACAGAAAAACACGAATGGCTTATCTCAGCATTTTTCAAAGCGTACTCAAGTCATGTTCCCAGCCATCAAGAGAGAGCTAATCAAATTTTTTCTTCTCAGAAATAATGATTGTGGCAGATTTTGTTGAATAGTTTGCAAGGTTTTGCTGTTTCAGTGTATATCACTGCGCTTCTGTTGATCATTGGGTATTGAGATATATTTGTGTCTCACTGCCTCATCCCAACACATCGATCCTTTCTTTAGGTCACATATTTCCCACTTCTCCTTGTAAATCTTTCTCTGGTGTGCAGACCCAGTACAGGCCTATTTCTCACCTTGGGAAACTTTCAGTCCTTTGCATGAAACTTGCTGCAGAATAGCACGTGCATTTTACCACTTAGGAAGGGTGGAAGACATCAAATACTGAGTATTTTCCATTTTGGTTGAGCATAGAGGTGGAAATACAAACACCCCCACAATCATTGTGGGTGAATGTACTGAGAATAGCAGTTGTTGTATTCAATTACTAACAGTAAACTGAGGTTAAGAATTCTTCCTGTCATTGTAAGACCGAAAATGTTGATCACATTTTCAAGTGAGTTGTGGTGTTTGTTTTCCCACTCCAGTACTTTTTCCATTGACATTAGCCACAGTTATACTACGTATTTATGTATCTTGCCTTTCTGCAAATACAATCCTTATAGTCCTTTCCTAACCTCTATGTTTATGTATTTTATTGAATTTTTGGAAATTAGATTCCTTTTCAGTGTTTGATTTGTTGCAGTGACTTTAGGCTGGCTGCCCAACTTAAATACGGTTGCTACCCTTGGATGATAGCCTGACTGTTAATTATTTCCTTTCTGAAACTGTTAGCACAAAACAAATTTTGTTATAATGACATTAAATAATGACCACAGAAACCTGCTCGGTGTTAGAATTTTTTTCCTTGGCAGCTGTTTTATGCTTTTTCCTCAATCATGTAAATTAAGAATGAGGTTTCATTTAATATTTTACCAGCTCATGAATAAATAGGCCTCCTATTTTTCTTGATGCAAATATAACAACATTAGTATGGGAATAATTACCAAATAGCAGACATTATCTTGCAATTTTTATAAAGTAAATCTTCCAAATAAGACAACACACTTAAGCACAAAAAAGGCTGAACTATATAGGGCTAGGGCTAATGATGTCACCATCCTTATTCTACATGGTATAACTGTTATTATTTCCTCATCCAAAGGCAAGCTTTGATATTTACAAAAGGGCTTAAAATATTTCTTACTTATCTTTACAAATATGGCAGTGTAGTCAAGAACCCTTTCCAACTAGTCAAGATTGGGACGGAGCATGTTGAGGTGGAAGGATGGAGCAAGAAAAAAATGTAATTTGGAACGAATACCCTATAGATTCAATGTTAACATAATGGAAGGTTCAAAAACATGTTTTAGTTGCTTATATCACAACTATACAATTATGCTAATATATGGTAATGGCATTACCCTTGAGAAATTTCCTTTCCTTCGTTAATTTAGGAAGAAAATCAGTTATGAATTCATATGATTTGGTCTGTTGGTGACGTCAGTGCTGTGTCAGAGGACAACTGAAGAATGATTAATTCTTCAACTTCCCCTGTTCAAAAGGCTGTTCCCTCAGAGCTGCTCCTTTAACTTTAAGCTATAAATATGTGTAAAATAAACCATAATTCTTTCCAACAGAATATTTTAAGGAAGCAACTGCGGAGGTGTTGATTTAACACATGGAATGTAAACAGCTCGAGTTGGAGAAAGTCATCTATATCCTGTCCTCTGCTACATTAATCCAATTCCATTTTAGCTAAAGGCTGTCTGCTGTTCATTATTCTACAAGAAGTAAGGGCCTGCTTGCCAAATATATACTTTTGTGGTAGTTATTATGCTTCTAAATATTTATTCACAGCTTCCCACTGCACAGCCTCAGTGCATTTTTTTAATGAATTAATATTTTTGTTTTAACTCTACTATTGGTACTAAACCTCTTGCTGCAATTTAATGAGGAAATATAAAAGAAGAGGCAAGGTAATAAAGTTATGGTAAAATTTTTAACAATTTTCAATCAATTTTTTTTCTTATTTGGAGATCAGTAAACTCCATGTATTATCCTATGGAAGTCAAAACGTAAGCCTACGTTAGCTAGAGAGTCTCCTTACAGTAACATACAGAGTTTCCAAGCATTTTCTGGTGTGTTGTACATTTTTGTTTTAAATAGGGAGTTCATTCCCTGCTTCTGCCCACCTACAGCTTAACCTCCATCACATTTCCTCAAGAGGGTTTGAGTCTCAAATCCTAATTCCACCCTGTCCTGGTGGAACACCCCAGAGCAGAGACACTGTTTTGCAATAAGCTTTTGTGCAGTGCACACAACTCAGCTGCCCACGGTAAGACTTTCCAGCTACTCAGGAGCACAACCTGGTACAAAACCACAAAACCAACAGTCCCAGCCACATCCAGAGCTACACTGTGTTTAGTGCTGGACAAGCAGACAGGGAAGACTGAGAGCTTGCAACCTAGGCACCTGAGGAGACAATACCAAAGGGGTCAAAGTACAAGGTGTGCACAGGAGCCAGAGATGAAAGAGGGTATACAGCAGCCCTGCCAGCCAGCCCAGTGTCCTTCATTGAACTGCATTCCCTGACTGAAGTCTCATGCAGGAGATCCACATTAACTGCTTTTTGATTTCAAAAGGCAAAATATTCATGAAACCAAACCACTCAGACCTCAACCCATTCATCAAGGGGCTGCATTTGTTATAGCATTACCTGTAAGAGCTAGCTGTGCTCAGATCCTTCAGATACATAGCCCTGGGAATGAACATACACTATTGCCTATTAATGACACTGACGTAACTATCCTGAATCATGAATGGTCCCATCTCATGTAACAAGTCCTGCTTTCTTCTTCAGTATTGCAAAGGTGAAAAACTGCTAGAAGAGGACAAAGAATACTGATGCTCTTACAAGCAGATAACCATTTTCCTTAACTGATGCTTTTCAATGACAATTTATAACAATATTTCTACCTGGTTCTTGTTACTGTCTGTACATTAGTTTGGCTTCTTGGGTGTGCTGTAAAATAAACATTATCTCTGTTAATCTTTCGATGGGAGTTGCCCTTCTCTAAGTATCACAGCACTTTTATGACTAAGCTGGTAAACTATACTTGGATGTGAACAACAGAGCTGTCCTCATCCTGACATCCAAACTGCATGAGGAATCTAGTATGTGGAAACAGCTAATGATCCAATCAGCACAAGAACATATTGCAAATTGCAATTGTAATAAATAAGCAGTAGACAGCTCTATCATGTAATTATACATTATGTTTTCATATCATTGCTTTTTCTATTACTGTAGCCTCTTTCAATAATCTCTTCAGCATTTAAATTCCTAGTTGCTTTCAACAGACAGAACTTTTAATGGATGTTACTTGCGACAGAGTGACCTTCAATGAAGAAAGCAAGTAGGTGGCAATGAGGAAAAAAAAGTGACAAATCAGCACAAAGGGATTACAAGCCATAAGAACTCCTTGCACTTGTTGTTTAAATGATATTGACAAGCTGTTTTCATGTATTTTATCAGCTACTGTGATCTGCATACGATACAGCTCACCATCGGTTTCACAGACAAGGAAACTGAAATGGCAATAAACAATGAATTAACAACCCCTTGCTAGGGCTTCCTTAAATAATATGGCTTCTGTATCATTTGAACTCCTGCACTTCAAGAGATGAAGCATCAATCTGCTTCAGCTGCCACGGAAACGAGCATTAAGGAATAGCCAACACAGCATGGTTATACCTTAGCTTTACATTCATGTGCACCATGTTATGCAAGAACTCTAAAAAAGAAATACAGTCAGCTATGAAACTAATAACATGTCAGAGGCAAAACCACAAGTGTTGGTCATAACAGACAAGTTGCATCAAATTGAAAGGAAACATAATTTAAGCTTGGGGTTTCAACTGTGTTTCAAAAGAACTGTAAAACTTAAGCAAGTTCCAGTTTCTGCTCCTCATGGCATCCTCCTCCTCCTCTCAGACCTTGTTTTGGAAGGCTAGACAGCAGACCCTCAGAACTGGCATTGTGTAGCACACAAACAACAGATCAACAGATCAACATCATTGAAGTGGCTGGCCCCTATCCCATACAGAGGTCAGTCATCACCCTTCCTGTTACTTATGAAATTGCGAGCCAAATGCAAAGAACAAAATGGACTACTGGAATCACCATGATGTTATTTAATTAGTGAACTTTTCTCAGACACTTTCTAAACAGGCACTGTTAGTGCAAAGCAAAACCAAAGCCAAACAAGCAAATAAAAAATGTAAAAAAAAAAAAAAAAAAAAAAAAAACCCACAACAAATCAGGATCAAAACCACTCATGTTCAATAATTTAAACATTTTTTTCCTTTTGAAGACTACTGAAATAGAAGATAAATAAAACATATTGTATTATGCTGGGCATTCTCCATTAACAGCTCATATCCAAACAGGCAGTATTACTTCAAAGCAAAAACAAAGAAACAAACCAGAAACGAAGCCATGATCAAAAACACACATTTAGAATAACTTAAATTGCCATTTTTCTTTTGAAGATAATTAAAGTAGAAGATAAATAAAATATCATATTGCATGATGCTGGACTTTCTCCATGAACAGCTCATACCCATTTTCATATTACATATTCAGATAAACTAAATTTATCAGTTATATTACACTGGCATCGATGGGATCTTTAGAGGGAAAAGTCAGCTGGCTAGGAAAAAAAAAAAAACACTGAAGAATAAATCTATAGAAATTAGTTTCTTAATGTTTATGTATCCTTAATCCTCTGTTCTCTAGAGAATGCTTTTCCTCTCTTGATCAATCTTAGACCTGTCCTGCAGCGAACTGGTTTTATTCAAGCAGGACTGTGAGCTATCAAAATATTTAAAATTAACTGCATAGGTAAAAAAAAATAAAATTAGTTGCCTGCATTTGATACTAGTTTTTTGCTCAAGAAACTCAGATGAAAAGTCACTTTCTGGTCTTTTGCACTAAAACCACTTTTCTACAAAATTACTAGAAAACACTTCAATAATGTACACTCCAAAACAACTGAGCCACTTTTGACTATCCTCAGCTCCATGCAAATCTGAACCATAACTCAGTCAATCTTACACCTGTTTTTCCGAGAACATCTTCCCTTCTTGTCACTAAAATACTGCCAACAATAATTATTTTATTTCAAGTCTTGTCTTATTATGTACCCTAACACTCAGCTCCTGTAGGCAAATAGTTAAAATAGAATCTTAGTCTCCTTTCGCAGACCTTTGGGTCTCGTACTTGCAGCAAAAGGCTTAAAAACATGAATCATATCAGCTTAAAGAATGCAAATGAAAAACACTCAAAGGCACTTTTTAACGAAATTCTCAGGGCTGTTATGACAGGTGTGCAATCTGATGAGGAGAGGCAGGAGTCTGATTCATGATTTCTTAACCACTGGGATTCACATGTAAGGATTGCTCTTCACCTTCATTTTCCTTTTCTGCTTTTCTACTCTCCTACTTTACATGAGGAACGAAGAGGTCCAAATTTCTGGAAGAAATCATCTTCAGCACGAATCAGAGCTTCCTCATCTATGTAGACAGCCGGTCTCCTGGAAGCCAAGAAGTACTGCACCTTGCGCAGGCTCCATCCCATCACATACTTCAGCCAGCCACTGACAGCAGCTGTAGACCTGCCAACGCCAGCATTGCAATGAACGTAGACAGTGTGTCCATTCTGAAGCAGCCCATGCAGGAGGCAGACAGCCTGTGGCAACATCTGTATTCTTCCTAAAGATAAAAACAAGGGCACGGTCACTAGCGTTTCAGAGAGTTAGGTTCACAGTAGAGATTTTGTCAGCACAGCCTGATGCACTTTAAATGCTATATATCTTTCTGTTTTCTCTCTCTTTTTTTTTTCCCCTCAAATGACCTACTCTAACCTCCATTTCTTCTTGCAGATTCAGATCATTCAAAACCTGTAAAATGCCCAAAGTCCTCTCTAAATACACCTTCTGATTAACATTGAATGTGCATGGCATATTCATTTTTCTGAAATAAGACAGGAAATTACATCAAGTAGCACATCTTTTATAGCATTCAAATCAGCAATCCAAAAATGTTTTTGTTTATTTTTTTTTAAAGTTTTTGTTTTTTTATCACCAATGGTTTGTGAATCTACCCATGCATTGCTGCTTTCCAAAACCTGGTAATGAAAACAGTAACATCAATCATAAGGGAAGGAGAGAGAACAGAATAGCATTTTCCTATACAACTTAACACTCTCATAATCAAATTGTGTACTGAGCATATGGTTAAATAGTCTGTGTATGATTAAGAGCAGTCTTTCTCACTCCCAAAGGGATGAATATACTGTATTTCTTGATACCTCTCCCTGCTACCCTGGGAATTGAAGCTGCAGACATCAAAGTGTAACTTCTCCTCACGGCATAGATAAGCACTGACGTTAAGCCCTTTCAAATCCCTGTCTTAAGGTCTCCTGTCCTTCCTGATGCCCCATTCCTGATGTGACAGCTCCCTGTTCGTGGCAGTGAACTTCACTCTGTTGAAAGCACTCTTGTTTGAGGGAGCAGCCTACCAGCCAAATACACACTTCCTACCTATGGGCTAAAAGCAAGATTTTGAAATGAGCATTGCAACCGAGGAATTAAAAATATTAATTTATGTTATGATGCAATGCACTGTGGGTATTCTAAATCAATTACAAATAATTATAGAAATGACTCCATGGAGATTCATCAGACTGGGATACTGTAGATAAAGAAAAATAATTTGCTTGGGGAACGGAGTGGCTACACTAGACATACAGCACTATCTCTCTCCATTTTTAACTAGCAAGATGGCAAGCTGTCCTGCTGTGCAAGCTTGCAGTCTTCCACCTACACAGCATATTTTCATTATACAGGCTGAATGCAAGCTGAAAGCACAAGTAGTCAAGCAGTTATCTGTGTCTGATGGCTTTAACCTCAAATACACATATACTCCCAGACACAAAGTAGTTTAGATGGCCTCTCCACCTACCAGAAAATGTAAATAAAACAAAAATATCCTTGAACTCTAGCTGTATTTTCACACAAAATTTACACGAGAAAAAAAAAAAAAAGGCAGCCACGACAGCAACAGTTTAATAACTCAAAGGTTTTATTGCTATTAATTTAGCTGCAAGACTGGTCTGAGCATTACCTTCAGTGCTCATGTCTGGAGTTGGCATCCAGACATAGGCGAGACCTTCCTCTTTGTACAGTTTCATGAGGACTTCAGGGCTCATAGGTTCTGGGTAGCGATTGCAGCCCCAGGAATTCTGAACAATGTCCCACTCAGTCTGGAAGTTCATCACTGCTGTGACACCCAGCTCGTGCTTTAGCTTGACCGTCACATGCTCCAGCTGCCGAGGGCAACTTCCCAGCCAGATGTTCGGCAGAATTCTAGCACGGAGAAGACATTGAAGTGGGTTTGATCAAAATATCTGAATGTAAAAACTGCCAAATTAAGTGATGTTCCAGCTCAAAACCTGCTTAGCATCATCACATGAATACTCCTAAGAACAACCTTTCATTTCACGCAGTGAGAAGCTTCCTCATTCGTTACAGTTTAGTTGGTAATGGTTGATGGTGGGGATCAAGCTCGTAACCTTCTCCAAAAGTCTAAGAAAAAATTCTGAGCAGTTACTAGCACAGGTCCCCAAGGCATCCATCATTCAATCTGCAGTGGAAACTTACCAACATCATGAATTAGGATAAGAGAACTCTTCAGATTTGTGCAATTTGCAGAGAAGAAAGAGACCAAAGGATTCACATGATCTAAATCTGAATAATAAGACAAATCACAGAACTCTTCTGGCTTTGTAGCTATCACTATAATGAGGACAGTAGACGGGGGGAAAAGGAAGAAAAAAACCAAGGAAATAAAAACCAACAACCCTTAAATTTCTCTTCTGTAAGAAAACTCAAAAAGGAATTTAATTAGTAATTTTCTTCTCATTTTTCTCTTCACTAGTAGTGTCTAGAGGGAACCAAGCATAGAATTATAAGCCTAGTTTCCCTCAAGGTTTGAAGAACTAGATATTTTCTCATGAAAACCTCAAGAGATGCAGTTAGAATGGATAAACATCCGCATTTCCAGCAATTCTTCAAATCAAACTTCAAGACTGCTATCATTCTCCCACTAATAACTATCATTAAAATATCCTACGTCCCAATCACTTTTTACATAAACAGAATATTAAGAGCCTTGTTTTTAAATGAGAATATTTAATCTGCACATACAATTATATTTATGTTATCTAAAATTGATTATTTACATTCATAAATTATTAGTGATTTATTTTTTCTGTATGCAAAAACATCTATTTTGAATATGCAATTCACAAGCTACAGTTAAATATACTCAATAGTTGAGTGAAGTTTATTAACAGCAAAAAAAAAAAAAAAAAAAAAAAAAAAGAATGCATGCTACATCAAAAACAAGATCTGCAAAAATAAAATATCTGCCAAAAATTTCTTAAAGGATTTTTTTTTTCTTTCTCAATTTTAATCTCAGGGACAAATGGGAAAACTTATTTTTATTGAGGAACAGTTACTCATATAAACAGCCCCTAGGTCAGCTATTTCCATTTGATAAGACTATGACAGTAATAACTGTTAACTAGCACTTAATTAAGCCTTGCAATTGGCAATGATTAAATCCTACTATATTACTACCGAAACATAAAAATGCACTCTAGAAAGCATATTTTATTGTTATTGCTTCCTGCATTTGAGCTGCATCCAGAGAGAGGCATACAGCTATGCAAACACAGCCAACAGTCCCAACAGCCCCTGCATCAGTGAGGCAAGGACCTTGACCTCAGGATGGTACAGGACATGGTAACTGTTGAGTCATGGCCTGAACCACTGATTGAGCACCTGGGGAAAGTCAGCCCTGGGAGCACAGGTGAAGGCAATTCAGTGTGTAATTGGAAGGGGGGAGCCTGGCTGCACCTTTCTTAGCTCTCATGTACTGGTTTTCTGAATAGATCTGAGAGTTTTGCCTTTGACAGCACCAGGACCAAGCTTTGATCTTGGCATTCAAGCCTCTTATTTATCCAGTTCCAAGGACTGTGAAGTGTTGGTTTTGCTGGACCCGGCTTAACTGTTCTTCTTCCAGGAAAACAGTCCCTGCATAGAACAGAAGGGCAGAGCTCTCCTATTGGTCAATTCATATCAAAGTCCTGGGATAATTCCACAGTACCCATATTTCCATTTGGCTTTAGCTGGTTCAAATCTTAACTTAGTCTTTTATCAGAGGGAAAGGATAGGTGCAAACAAGCATGGCAATTGATGAAGAGTTTAGCAGCTGTGTTCTGTATAGAGATTAATGACTGCCCTACTGAAAGCTTGATTCTTCTGAGGACCAAGGAAGTGTTAATTTCATTTTTACATCTTACTTTAGTAATAACGAATTTTAGTTTTTTTCCAATATGTCCTTACTTCTTTAAGCTGCCACTGTACTTCAGTAGCAGCTAACTAGATTGGAGCAGTGGAGTGCTTGGCATGAGAAAGAGACCTCTTATCTTCTCTGCTTAACTGTCATGCAAACTGCTTTGAGCTGCTCAACAGCTGCTGCTTTCCAGCTCACATGTGGTTGTTTTCCAGCAGTGGATTCAGTGATCCTTACCTACAGTTTGAAAAACAAAAACAAACAAAACAAAACAAAACAAAAAAACAAAAAACAAAACCAAGCAAACAAAAAAACAACATTTAGGTGTTATGTGTGATAGGTAAACCTATGCTCTTTGCAGTCGTTAGCCCTTTTCATATTCCCTAGTATCACAACAAGATAATTTAAAAAAAATTTTACTTAGAATTGTTTTAATACTAAAATAGCATTTTGTCATTGTATATGTAAACTTCCTGTTACTAATGATAGTATGCTATGCCTGGTCTCAGAATACATGGTCAATTCAGTCACAGTTTAGCAATAGAGAAACTACCTAGAGCAACATCAAAACATTCAGTTAACCTGGCAGGCTAACATCTACAGATTTTCTAAAAGCTGTTTCTTTAAAGCTGCCTTCTGCTAAGTTACTTTAATCCTGCCTTATGCCTCAGTTCCCCATTGGAAATGTGAAGATGATATTTACCCACCTCAAGAGGACGTTGGGGGATTAAATGAATAAACAAATGTGGAAAGTTCTAATCTGTGGTAAAAACAACAAAATATGAGACAGGTATCTATTGAATTTGCTTGAGTTACAGATCCCAGACTGAAGGCTGACATCTTAAAAAATACTGCATTTTGACTTACAAACCGAGAAACCCAATAGCAATTTATCTCTACTGAGGAATAAATATGGAATGTATTTGTATGATTATTTTCCATCTGTCATCACACTTAAATTATTTTTAATGATGTAGATATACATTGCACTTGGTTGCTTCCCCCAGGACCCTGCACAGCCTAGATTAAATTGTAACTATTCACTAAGAAAGCATCTGGAACAATAAATGCATTCCCTTTAATGAATGCATATACAAATGGTCTTCCCATCCATAAGGAGAAAATGAGTCTGAGGCTCAGACTAGAAGAAATGTACCCATGGAATGACGTGCTGCACTTTTCAATCCCAGACCTCCACAGATGGCACAAGACCAGTCCAGCAGCTGTGGGTTCACACCATGGGTGATCTGCCACAGGGGAAGGTACTGAGTTACTGCATCCAGTTGCTCCTTTACATGCTGATGTCTACACTGCTTCTGAAGCTCCCGTACTATTGCTATTGTTTGTGGTTTAAAGCAAACAGATTTGAATTTTGGCTTTCTTTAAAATGCTGAGCTGTAAACTAGGATGACTCAGGTGCTGTTTCCAGATTCATTGAATATTAGTGCACTAGGAGTGGTCATCTTGTAAAGTTTTCTAAGATCAGCCAGCCCTTCTTGGGGGTCACGGCTCTTACAGAAAAGTGCATGATTCAATTCTTTGGGGAACACATTTCATTGGAACATCTGTCAGGAACAATATTGTAGATGTCCACTTAGCAGTATAGTTGCCAGATTAAATCAAGAAAGAGGACTTCATCAAACTAGAGGGTTTTTTCCATTGGTTATTGGCAGTAGAGAGTGATACATTAGCCACTCCATTTGTTTATATTGATAACATGCTGGATCTTAATCAAAAATGTTATTTTAAATGAAAAGTGATGGATTCAGCCCTTAGTGCCAGCTCAAGATGTAGCCCAGTGTTAAAGCTTGCAATTCACTTTGGTTGCCTGCACTACAGTTTTCTCTTAGATCCTGTAAAGAATCAGATGACAAGCAGGGACAAGATTTAGCAGAGGGTTGTTAGAGTTAGACTAGTATGGTTAGGATGAGGTTAGACTTGATGATCTTGAAGGTCTTTTCCAACCTGAGCAATTCTGTGAGTATTGATATAAGTTCTTTTCAACTTTCCCTTACGGTACTTGTTGATCTGAATGTGGATGTTCCTGATCTGAATGTGGATGTTCCTGATCTGAATGTGGATGTTTGGTGGCCCTGCTAGGCAGGGGGGTTGGAACTACATGATCCTTGAGGTCCCTTCCAACCCAGGTGATTCTGTGATTCTGTGATTCTGTGATATTGATATACACATAACAGGGCAGGGCAACTTAGCTGAAACAAGAAAAAAAATGATTAAATTTCCTGTGTTGTCTCTTAAAGGCCTTGATTTTTGTAAAGGTGTAGCATGCAACTATGGCTACACATAACTTGCAGCAAAACTTATTTTGCATTCCCATAGGAATAAAATATACAATTAAGCCAATTTACTCCCAGCATTTTGTGGTGCTCCTATGCAGTATGGTTTTGTACTGATGTGGTGCTGTTGCCCTGATACCAGTACAAGCAAGCAGTCCAAAGGGAACTTAGGCCTGAAGTACAACTCAGTTAGAGATGTATTTGCAGCTCAGTAACTACTGGAAACTGCTTCAAATTACAGTGCATCCCACTCTGAAGGCAGAATTTTTTAATAAGGTGGATTTTTCAATGGAAAATCTGTCTGAATCAAAAGACTGCATTGGAACTTTTAGCCAAGTTTAAACTAGCGTAATAACTAAAAGTCTGATGAGAAATAAAGGAAGAGTGAGGGATATAAGAAATTCCTACCGCTCTCTCCCTTTCTCTCACTTGACAGATATTTTCGAAAGTATTGCTTTGGGCATATTCAAAATGAGAATAGAGGAAATCTTACCAGCTGTAGCTGAGATGCTCTTTCATCTTTTTTCCTACCCTCTACCTAGTGACAAGGCACATCATATTAAACAGTAATACCAGTAGATCATGATGATCCATAACTATTATGCTGTATGTGTTCACTGTTCTGCCATTGGCATTTTTTTAATACCACATTGCAGCTTATTTTTAAATACACATGCATCTTCCAAAGCAACAAATTAGACACACCTCTTTCC